TTTGTTTAACATTTTTGGTTGGTGTGCCTCGTGATTTTTTCAATGAAGAAAAAGGCTAAAAAAAGGTTGAAAAACTGCTTTAGTGTGCTGAGGTGTTTTATTAAAACCACGGTGTTCTTCTTCTTGTTCTTCTTCTTGTTCTTCTTCTTGGTCTTGTTATTCTTCTTTTTCTTGTTATTCTTCTTTTTCTTGTTCTTCTTCTTGTTCTTGTTCTTCTTGTCTAATTCTTGTTCTTGGTCTTGTTCTTCTTGTTCTTCCATTTGATCTTGTTCTTTTTCCTCTTGTTCTTCTCTTGTTCTTGTTCTTCTTTTTCTTGTTTTTGTTCTTCTTCTTCTTCTCTCACTCTCTCTGTCCTCTTGTGTGTGTTTCAGATTGATGACGGCAGCGGTATGAAGCGAGAGGCCACGGTGGACGAGGTGATTAAGATCGTGGAGGAACTGACCAGGATCCATTAGTTTAGCTCGCCCCCCCACCCCAAAAGAGAGAGAGAGAGAGAGAGAGAAAAAGAGAGAGAGAGAGGACGGCCGAGAAACGACGGTTTGGCTGTTGCAGATGTGTGTAAATAATTATAAATAAGCAGTGTCTGCATGTTGGTCCTTCAGATCTGAGTGGGAAACACCTGTGGGGTTATTATGGGATGTAACGCTCTTTTTTTAGCTAAGAGTCTCCAGGCAGCAGCCTGTTTGAACAGAGAGACCAAAGTAAAGAGACTTTGGTGTGTGTTTGAGTGTGTGTGTGTGTGTGTGTGTGTGTGTGTGTGTGTGTGTGTGGGTGTGTGTGTGTGTGTGTGTGTGTGTGTGTGTGGGAACGTGTGGGATAGCGCGTGACTATAAAAAAAGGAAAAAAAAAACCTGAAGATTTTCCTCACCAAAACGCTTCTCGGGGATATTTGTGCGAGTCACTGGCAGGTCGAAGGTCAGCCGATCCTCCTCACAGTTTAAGATTTTCACTTTGGAGTTTGTTATTGAAGTCTGGAGAAAAAACGTGCTGTACGGAAAACAAAATGAGGAAAACCATAGATTTATAGCTATTTTGTCTCTGTGATGTTTTCTTTGTTTATCCTAATAAACTTTGCTTTAGTACTGTTCATGTCTGTGCCTCGAATTTGATTATTAATCATTATTATTACCTTAATTATTCCCAGAATCGGCTTTAGCTCAGACATTTTCAGATCTTATTTATGGATGAACCGCCTGTGAGCAGCTTTCTGCATAGAATGAGAGTCTGGTATTCGTCCATAAAGTTTTCTATGTTTGTTAAGAAGTTAAAGAAAACATACGTTGGGTTTTCTCCCATTTTAAAATGTGTGTTTAGTGTTTAAGTCATCACTTTTTGCTCAAAGCTGTTTAAAACTCAAGCTTCAAAGCTGATAAAACTTACTATAAGTCCAACTTTCTTAGATAAAATGGGATTGTAGTTCAATAAGAAACGCATAAGGATATTTAAAAAAAAAAGATTAAAGCTAATATTTACACCACGCAGATTTTAGGATAACATGTAACTGTTATTTTCTTGTAGATTATAAATGATGTCAAAGCACAAATTCCCATTAGTTTGATTTTTATTTTATTTATTTTGTGTTTTTTTCCAGATCAGGAAACAGCTTGTGCCTGATTTATATCATAGGTGTGATTTAATTTAGTTTTCTATAGATACAATGATAATAAAGGCATAATAGACATGATAATAGACATCTTAAATAAGCACAGTAGCTTTTATAGCTCATAACTGGCTCTGGTTTAGCAGATAAACGTGTGTAAAGATGATCTGAAAGCAAAACAGGAGCTGGTTCACTTCCTGTTTTGGCAGAAATGTAATCCACTTTTCTCTGTTTGGACTTTTTATTCCACTTGAATAAAACGCTATGAAGTGGAGTGGTGGGACTTTTCCTTCAGTTAACAACTTCAATAAATGTAATTTAGAAACGAGAAATCAAGAAGTCATAGAAATACTTCCTTTAGAAATGTGGGAGAATTTAAGAACGATTTAGAACTATTTTTCGGTACTTGAATATAAAATCTGGCTTTTAATGAGCAGTTTCAGACTTTTTCTTCTTCTGCCTCCAGCAGGTGGAAGTTTTACTAATTAAAAACTTTTCCTCAAGACTATTTCACATTTTACAGAATTCACTTCACTTCTTTTCTTT